ATAAAAGAAACAATATAATGAATTGCAATATCATTAATGAGAGTGATGCTATTACTATAGATTCTATAGATTAAGAGGATAATAAGGAACAACTTATGCCAATAAATTCAGCAATGTTGATGAAAGGGCTAAATCTCTTGAAAGATACAAGCTGTCAAAGCTCACTCAAAAGGAAAGAAATATTTTGAGTAACACTATAGCTATTAGAGAAATTGAATTAATAGTTAAAAAGAAAAAAGATAAGGAAGAGACACTTTTCAACTCATTTTTGAGACCAGCATCTCTCTGACACCAAGATCAGATAAACAGATTTACAGAAAAGAAAATTACGGACAAATATCTTTCATGAACATAGATACAGATTAAGTTATTTTTCCATTTAATCAAACCAAAGAATTTATTAAAAAGGATAACACTCATGATTGAGTGTAGTTTATCTCAAGAAGGCAAGGTTGGTTTAACATTTGGAAAACAATCACTGTGAATCACCCTATTAACAGACTGAAAAAACACACCATATAATAATCTCTAAATGTGCAGAAAAGGCATTTAAAAAATCCAATATCCATTCATAGTAAAAATGCTCAGGAAGCTAGGAATAGAAGGGAACTCTGTTATCTGAAAAAGTTCATCTACAAAATCCAACATCTAATATCATACTTAATAGGGAAAGACTTAATGCTTTCCTCTAAGATCAGGAATAAGAAAAATTTTCTGCTCTTTACCACTTCTATTCATCATTGCACTGGAGGTTTTAGACAATGTGATAAAACCAGAAAAAGGAATAAAATGCATCAACAGAAAAAGAAATAAAACTCTGTTCATTCAAAGATCACATGGCTGCCCACATAAAAATCTTATGGAATTTCCAATGAGTTACAAGAACAATTAGTGAGTTTAGCAAGGTTGCAAGATACAAGATCAATATGCAAAAAATAAATTATTATTTTATATGATAGCTATGTATGATAAAAATTTAAATTAAAAAATACCATTTATGAAGCACCAAAAAATAAAAAAAATATTTAAGGAGAAATCTGACAAAAACGTGGCAGCTCCATATGCTGAAAACTAAGAAACAGCAGAGAGAAATTAAAGAACTATAGAAATGGAGACCTTGGGGCACCTGGGTGGCTCAGTGGGTTGAGCCTCAGGTCATGATCTCAGGGTCCTGGGATCAAGCCCTGCATCAGGCTCTCTGCTCAGCGGGGAGCCTGCTTCCCCCCTCCCTCTCTGCCTACTTGTGATCTCTGTCAAATAAATAAATAAAATCTTAGAAAAGGAAATGGGGAGATTTATTATGTTTGTTATATAAATTCTCCCCAAATTCATAGATTGATCCATAGATTCATAACAATCCCAGTGAAAACCCTGAAGCCTTTTTTATACAAACTGACAAACTAGTTTTAAAATTTATATGGAGGGGCACCTGAGTGGCTCAGTCGTTAAGTGTCTGCCTTGGGCTCAGGTCATGATCCCAGGGTCCTGGGAAGAGCTCCATATCCAGATCTCTGCTGGGGGCGGGGAGCTTGGGGGGGCAGGGGGGGGGGGGGGGGGGGGGCGGGGGGGGGGGGATCGGGTGGGGGGAGCCTGTTTCCCCCTCTCCTACTCCCCTTGCTGTGTTCCCTCTCTCACTCTGTCAAATAAATAAATAATAAAATAAAATAAGATAAAATAAAATAAAATAAAATAAAATTTGTATGGAAGTGCAAAGAGCTAAGATAGCCAAACAACTTTGAAAATGAACAGTGCCTGAGAACTTCTACTACGTGACCTCAAGATCTTCTAGATCTATAATATTCAATACAATGGGGTATCGGTGTTGACACTGACAAGTAGATCAATGAAATATAATATAAATATAAGAAAGGCTCTGCTGTGAAGCCCTGGGAACCTTGCATGTATCCATATAGGCCATGGAAGCAGAAGTCTTGACCCACTACTGATGTAAGTCTTGGCAGGACACTCAGTGATCTTTATGGATGGGAAGCTTGTAAAGTGCTGCTGTAGGGCCAGTGTCCAGTTGCTTCACTATCATGAGAGTTTTTCATTATCTTTTGGGTTCTGGCGAGGTTTGGGACTTCCTGCCTTGCCTCCTGAGACAAAGCTTCAGACTATAGCACCGTTCAGCTGAAGTCTACAGTTGGCTGCTCAGCAAATGGATATCCTATAACTCACACTGCTAATTATCTGGCTCCTTTCCTTTAGGTGTTGTCCCTCCTGATATGTAGGAGGAGGCGCTGGCACTTTTGGCTATTCCTCTCTTCACTGTTTCTATAAGTGATAAATGGTCTGAATTTAAGGGTGACTCTGGGTCTTTACCAACTGAAACAGTCAGACCTCATCCTGTCCTGTGTGCACATGACAAGAGAGTCCAGAAAGAAACCCACACGTATGTATAGTCAGTTGCTTTTAGATGAAAGTACAAAGGCAATTCAGTGGGGAAAGGAAAAGGTTTTTTGCCAAATGGTGCTGGAACAATCGGACATCCACATGCAGAGAAAAAAGCTTTGACCCATACCTCACACCATATCCAGAAATTAACTAAGCATGGGTCGCAGACTTAAATGTAAAATATACAATCATTGCATTTGTAGAGGAAAATGCAAGAGGAAATGTTTGTGACCCTGGGTTAGGCAAAGATTTTTTTTTATATAATAATCTAAAATAATTCCTAAAAGAAAAAAATTGATAAGCTGGATTCCACCAACATTATGAACTGCTGTTCTTCAAAACACACTTTTAAGAGAAGAAAATATAACCCATGGATCAGAAGATAAGATTAAACAATTACATGTCTGGTGAGGAACTTGCTGCCAGCATATACAAAGAAATCTCAAAATTTAAGAAGACAACCCAATTTAAAAACATGGGCACAAGGGGTCAACAGGTGCCTCATTAAAGCAGATCTAGGGAACTCAAATAGGCACATGAAAAGATGCTCAAATCACTTGTCATTAGGGAATTTCAAATCAAAACTACAATAGTATACTTCGACACACCTTTTAGGATGTCCACGATTAAAGGGTGGCCGTGCCAAAGGACTCGTGAGGGTGTGAAACAACCGGGACACCATTGGTGGGAGTGTAACGTGGCACAGCCACTTTGGAAACCAGTTTGGCCGTTTCTTAAAAGGTTATCTTTTAATCACATCAGAGCATAGGGGCCAGCCATTCTAATCCCAAGTCTACAGCCAGAAGAAAGGAAAGCATACGCCTGTACAAAGGCTGGCACACAAGTGTCCATAGCGGCTGTATTTGTAGTAGCCCCAGACTGGAAACAGTCCAGTGTCTTTCAGCGTAGGAATAACGTAGGATAAACGTAGGATAAACACATGGTGGTGTTCCCATACCGCGGAACACCAACTGAGCTAGGAACAGGAGTGAATCATGGATCCGTGAAACCGCATGATGAATCTCGAGGTGATTACGTTGCATGAAAGAGATGGGACAAAATACAAAAGTCTGGCAAATTCAGACTAAATTATAGTGGCCAAAAGCAGATCAGTGGGGGTGATGGAAGAGATAGCAGGGGGCAGGGCACCTTGGGATGGGGACGGGTGCGTGGGCTATCTTGATTGTGGGGACGGTTCCACCGATGCATATGTAGGTCCGCATGAGGCAGATCGCACATTTAAAACGCGCAGTTTACTGTATGCTGACCACACCCGAGTCAAGCTGCTTAAAAAAATGTGTTGTTGGAATATGGCTCCCTTCAGCCGCTCGGAAGACCCGGCGGTCCTCGTGCCTCTCTGAGTCCCTGTTCTCTCCAGTGATCCTGGGAGGTGGTGCCCCTGCTTCGGTCATAGCCCTCCGCGCCTGCTCTGACCGCGGTGATTTTATTCAATCCTCACCCGGGCGAGAGAAGAAATGAGAGAAGAAATGATAAGCCCGAGGGCAGGGACGAGAACGTTTTGACTAAAGAAGTGTCAAGATGACAAAATGCAAGCTGAGAAACCCAAGCCTAATTCCTGCGCTCCGACGCTGTGGCCCCCCGCCGCCTCTCCCGGGGGGGGGGGGCCCTCGCGGGCCCCGCGGGGACGGACACCCTGCAGCCTCAGCCGCGGGGCCCGGCGGGCAGCTGCGGGACTCGCCGAACCCCGGCGCCTGGGCGGGCGGTGGGCTCCGGGCCGCGGTGCCCCTGCAAATGCCGAGCATAGCTCGGCTTCCTGTGGGACTCCGAAGCCCCTCCCGAGGAGCTAACCATTTATGTCACACTGCGACAATTATTCTGCATAAAATTATCATTAAAAACCCTAATTTTTCAGCCTCCAACCCCGCCAGTGGCCTTTTAGCATTCTTCAGCGCCGGCGTCTGCAGGCCTGTGATCACGGCGCTCATTACCTCGGTGTGGGGCCTCCCGCCTCGCGCTCGCAATCAAGCGCTAATTATACCCGCCCGGGGGCCGGGGGATCCGGGTCCGGGGTCCGGAGTCCCGGGCCCTGGGCCCGGAGGAGAATCCAGTACTCTTTGGGGCGTGGCAGGGTCTGGGTCTGGGGTCTTAGGGGTTCCGTTTGAGTCGCGAGGCAGGGGCTGGGGTAGGAGCTCAGGTCGGTGAGGGGTCTGGGGTCTGGGGTTCAGGGTCTGGGTAGGGTGGTGGGGGCAAGGGTAGGGACCAAGGGCGGGTCGCGCGGTCTGGGGTCAGGGCGCAGGGAGTGTCTGAGGCCCGTGGCCGGGCCGGGGACCAGTTGGGTTCTGCTGCGGTGTGGGGGAAGGGGGGCAGAGGGTCTGGGGGCGGAGTCCGGAGGTAGGGGTGGCTAGCTGGGTCCCGGAGCGGTGACAGCGGCCCGGGTCCGGATTCCAGGTTGGTTGAGGACGCGGGGTGTGCCCAGGTCATGGGGCATGGGCTGAGGCTAGGTGCTGGGACCCGGTCTAGAGGCGGCGGGAGCTCGGAGGCGGGGCCGGGGGCGGAGGGACGTAGCCTGCTTCTGGAAGCCCGGCCCAGGTCGGCTCCAGGTCTGCGGCCGCGGTCTGGGGCCCTGACCCGCCGCGCGTCCTTACCCTAGCGAGGCGGCGGTGCGGCAGAGGTGCAGGGGCGTCAGGCCCTCGGCGCTGAGCAGGTCGGGGTCGGCGCCGTGCTGCAGCAGCAGCTGGGCGCAGGCCGTGTGGCCTCCCAGGCAGGCCTCGTGCAGGGCTCCCTGGCCGCCCGGGCTGGCGTCGGGGTCTGCACCGCGGCTGAGCAGGTGGCGCACGCAGGCTGTGTGGCCGCGGGCTGCAGCGATGCACAGCGGGGTGGTGAGCTCGCGCTTGTACTCTAGGGTCCAGAGGCCTGTGGGAGAGGAGAGGTAAAGTGAATGGGGGAGCGGAGAGTGGGCAGTGTCCACTAAGGACGATGTAGGGTGGAACCATCTCTTAGAATTAGCCACCAGGTGGGCGTGTAGATAAATAAAGATACATATAGACCAAAGAGAGGCATATAAAGACCCAGAGGGCTGGGATGGGGTGGATATCTCCTACCCTAGGGAAACGGAGGTGGGAGGACAAAGGCAGACAGGGGCAGAGAGAACTCTTGAGGGAAAACCAGCGCAGGAAAGTTGGAAGGAGAGTCGCGAGGCCCAGGAGAGGTGGTGCGGAGGAAGGTGGAATAAAATAGAGACGGATAGGGGCCACAACCGAGCCAGAAGGAATGGAGGGTACCGAGAAGCAAGAGGGTCTTGCCAAATACGGGGAGACGGGGGCCTGGGCTAGGATTTGAGGAGTGAAGGGCTGACCCAGTGGGTGGCTGGTGGGAGGATGTAAGCCAGGAATTCACATTTTCCAGGCTCTGAATTCGGGACAGCTTGAAGCAGGAGAGTGAGCTGTGGATTTTTCTGGAATCCAGCTCTCTCTCACTGAACCCCAAACTTATCCCTTTGTCATTAACAGAAGACAGCAGACAGAACTAACTGACCTGCCGAGCCAAGGTTGCTCAAGGAAAGGCCTTACAAAGTTTAGTCCTCTTGGAAGTGCTGGGTTTCAGAGGCTCCCTTTGATGTGGTGTCCACATTCAGCACAATTCTGGTTTGTTTCTTTGCGCTCTTTAGGGTTGTGTGTGTGTGTGCGTGTGTATAGGGTTGCTCTTTCTTGGTGGATGAATGAAGCGGGTGCTATACATTGTACTTGTCTGAAAACTTTGGGCTTTCAAAAGGCCCGTGGAAGGTTGTTAGCGGCCAGGAGCGCTCGTGGAAATGGGGGAAGCGGTCCCCGGTGAATGCACTTCAAGGGACAGGATTTCACATGGCAGGGATGCCTTCTGATAATGATGGAAGAATCGATATCATGGCTGTAATGAGCTGCAGAGGAGACCCTTTTCAGAGGCCACCTCCTTCCTGGGACCCATGCTGAGCCGGTTTTGAAAGACCACTCATAATTACCTACCTGTATGTAGTGAGGAGTTCCAGCCTGCTCTGGGTCCCCAAGGCCCAGCCTGCGTGCTGTTGCCCACTCACTGGGGGATGTGAGGCCTATTGTCCTGGCAGTGGGTGATGGTGGCCAGAGGCCAGCTTCTGGTTTTGACTGTACTCATTTTCCTGAGCTAGGAAGTCTACTCACTGGGTGGGTTGGTGGGCGTCTAGGAAGGGGGTACTCCATTCTCCAGGTCACACCAAGTTTCCAGCCCAATTCTGCCCACCCCGGCAGCCCTGTTCACCCACCCTGGATTCCTGAGACTTCCTGTGGACTGATGGAAGGGGTCTTGGGTGGACCTTTGGCTCAGTGTGGGGTCAGCACCCCTGTCCGGGTCCTGGGAGATGGTGATAAGCTTCCACAAGGCCTTCAGGAAAACCTGACTTCTGAGGCAGCTGTCTGGATCAGAAAGCTTGCATCTGGTGCCTGTAATCTCCACTCCCACTCCCTGGTCCAGGTTCTGGCACCAGGAGGAACAAGGACATAGGTTTCTCCCCATGTAGTTCATCCCTCCTCAAGCCAACACTCTCCTTGGATTGCGAACTAGAGGAAGCCAGCATTCCATCCTGGATGTACTGAGGTGCTGGGGGACAAGTTCTGTGAGCGGGCTAGTGTTACCCCCTTGCCCATGGCCCCCTTCAGGGGGAGCAGTAACTGGCCACCAGCAAGTCCTCACACGAGAGAGGGTGCTGTTCCCAAGCCATGTTTGGTCATTTCTGAGGCTTGGGTGAGCTGCGGGGAAAGCGGAGTGGGTAAGCGGAAAAAAGCAGGGAGTGCAGCCATCCCTAGGGCCACCCACCCTGTCTTCGCAGTCCACATGAGGCCAGAGACCAGCCCTGGCTCTCAGGGCGGCCCCTTCCACTGCAACATTTTATCGCCTTGGTGGCTGGGATGCCCTAAGTTTCTGTGGTTCGGGTGTGCCGTAGAAAACCAGCAGAACTCACGGGGTGGAAAGAGTAAGGCAGAAAAAAGGAAGGAGCCCTTAGATTCAGACCATGGGTTAACATTAATGCTTATTTGAAACTGCAACATTTGGGGGTGGGTGGGTGTGTCCGGGACTGGGAGGCATGGGATTAAAAAAAAAAAAAAAAAAAGACATTGATTGAGTGCAAGCAGTTGGCATTCTTGGCCGAATCACCACCCAGCTCCTGGGAGGAATGCGTTTCCCCTGTCTGGGGCAGATGAAGGAGGGGAGGCCCGGAAGGGCTCCAGGACCCCCTGAGCTGGGGGGTGGTGTGACCCAGACTGCAGCTGCCCTTGCCTTCCCTGAAGCCCGTGCCGCCTCACTGTTTGCACCGAGCTGCTTAGCCCTTTGACAATTTGGGGTTTATTTCCTTCTCCCTGGGTGGGGTATAAACGGAATGGTGTCTGTTCTTTGGAAGCTGATCTTCTGCATTCTTTGCCTGCCTGAACCCACAAGTAAGGCACATGGGACATGGGACAGTGGCCATTGACCCATTGACCACAGAGTCTCATATCATTTTGGACTGGCTGGGCTGCAGTGGCTTCCAACACATGAACCCTTTTGGTAAATGTCTTGTGTCTGGAGACCGCAGGGCAGGGGCGGTGGGGAAGGATGCTCAATGCAGAGTGCCAGCTGAGAATACCCTGGCTGAAGCCTGCTGGTCAGCAAGTCTCCTCAGACCGGGTGGGTAAATGGAGGGGGTCTCTCTCCTTGGGGGAGTCTCTTGCAGACCCAGCACATAGTGGTGTTCAGGCTGCAAGAATGCCCTCAGATATATGACTTAGGGACCTCTGATTTCTTCTTCTCCCTCCCCCATTCTCAGGCTCCCCTGGGTTCTGGGAGGAGCACCTGCTGAGGGCTCTCCTTCTGTTGATGCTGGCTGTGCCCCAGCCACCCCGCTGTAGCCGTGGTGTTCACAGGTTCATAGAAGGACCTGGAGCAGAGCTGCGTGCCAGGGGACCTGCCTCCCTGGCTGCTAGACCCAGGCACTGGCAGATCAGCTCCGAAACCAAGGCTGTCTTTTAAAGATGAGAGGCACCTTCCAGCATCAGATGGGTACTTCTCACCCACATTTTGGCCTTTCCAATTTGATTTCTCACATCTCATCATCTAAGACATTGTGCCGACCAAATTTCATTTATAGACATCCCTCGCTCATGTGTGTTAAATGCAGCGCCAAAGTGAGCAGTCTGCACCCCAGAGTTCCTCCTCTGGAGGAGAGTTAGTAGCTCCTTAAATGTACACAGCTGAGCTTTAAAGGAGAAAGCGTACCTGACAGTCCAAATGTGGCTGGGGATGTCACCTGCCACTCCATCTCATCCTTCTTGATCTCAAACACCACGTTGGCATCGTGGAAGGAGCGGTTCATGAGTTGCTGCAGACGGCTCAGATCTCCCGTGACCAAGGCAGCATGGTACTGGAGCACTGGGGACCCAGCTCTCGCTTGAGGCTCTTTTTCCATCTTCTGAAAGATTTGAAGTTCTCTAACTGGCTCTGGCCATCTCTCCATTGCAATGCCCTTGGTTTCAGAAAAGCTCTCCAGGAAGGCGAAAGATGGTCTTATGGAGCGTGAGCTATTTCTATTGTCATTACTCAATTGTCATCCAGCCGGGGCTCGGTGCTGGTGTATTTATAACTCCTGCGGGCTCCGATGTGAGCATGGTTACTTGATACGACCAGCGTCGTGTGACCACTGACATGCCCGAGTGCTCAGCCACCCCCTTGTGATTATATAGATTTGACTTCCAGAGACAGATACATCTGTTTATCTCCAAAACAGCTCTCCACAGGAGGGCAGACACCCGACAATGGGCGGGGCTCCTTTTCCTGCTCTGTAGGGTGTCTTCTTGTTGTTGGCCTATTGCTTTCTTTGCTGCTGTGGACAAGGGTGGGCAGACATGTGTTCTGAGGGCTGTGTGAGCCCTGAGCATGTATAAGGAGCCCCAGCTGGATGCTGCAAACGACCAGGCTGTCCCCAAGTGTCTCTGGGTGGGAGGCTCCATAGGGTAGACCACGGATTCCCAAAGGCATCATCTTGGGCCCCTGGTGGCTCATGAATTTCTTTTAGTTGTTGAGAACTCATCCCCAAAGGCCCATAGAAATGCCACAATGTCTGTTTCCAAAACGAATGGGAACAGCTTTTTATTAGCAACTTACTAGTTATTTGCTACAGTTTAGTGCAGGGCTTTATTGTCTAAAAATTAATAAAATCATTTTTTTCATAATGTGGGTAATACACATTCTTACATCTTTTTTTCCCAGTTCTTGTTTTTCTCCCACTAGGAAGTTGGGATGGGCCACCTTGGTTGGGCTATAGCATTCTTTGCCATGTCCGTGTCAGTGATGGTAAAAGATGTGTAGCTAGAGGCTAGAGGGCAGACGGAGGCTCAGGGAGGGTGCTGCTTGGATGGGCCAAAGGGGACATGGTGGAGCACGTGCCTGGGACACTGATGCACAGAGATGCTGAGGGAGGGGAAAGAACAGCAGCCACCATCCACGCGGCTCCAGTGTTGGACACGCATCCATGGGATCGGACACACCCCCGTGGGATCCTGTTGCTCTATGGTGTTGCAGTCAAAGAAATGACAGAGACGACAGGAAGAAAGACTTGAACTCAAGGAATCGGGGTTGTAGGGAAAGCGCAGGCTTGGTCACAGCCAAACTTCTTAAGCACCCTCTTCCCCCGTGTTTCTGTCTCTTGATCTTTGTACCTCAAAGCGCCCCTTGACTCCTTCTGTTCTTCTAAGCACGCCCCCTCCCGTCCCCCAGTCTCAGCAGGCTGTCTGTGTTGGCTCTTTGTTTTTTTTTTTTTTTAAACATTTTATTTATTCATTTGAGAGAAAGAGAGAGAGAGCATGAGAGGGGAGAAGGTCAGAGGGAGAAGCAGACTCCCCATGGAGCTGGGAGCCCGACGTGGGACTCAATCCCGGGACTTGGATCATGACCTGAGCCGAAGGCAGTTGCCCAACCAACTGAGCCACCCAGGCACCCCATGCTCTTTGTTTTGAACAGTAATTCACCAAGACTTTCCACAACAACAGCAGGCCCAGCAGAGTACCCTTGATCTTCCTTAGAAGAGGTAAAGGGTGAAGGCGAAATCACCTGCATTTATCATTTAATACAGATATGGTTCTACCCTGGTTATAGAGCTGATTTGCAGGCATAAATGCACATGCATGGACTGACCCACGGCCTGGAGTTCCCCTCACGTGGTAGAGCTCAGATCTCCTCCTCTCTGAAGAGGGCTGTGGGGTTGCTGGGAAGAGGGAGATGTGCTCATCTGTCTGGTCACTGTGATGCCTTCATGCAGGCAGATAAACAGTGTTGACTGTGTCCCCAAAGCTGAAGGGCTCTCATTGGTGACACACAGGGTGCAGATAGGAGAGACTTGGTCACAGCCTGAGCCAGCTGCCATAGGGCTGCAGGTTAATGATCCTCTCTGTGGTTGTCTGATGTCTGGGCCAAGGCTCAGTACAGAGGGTGCCGAAGGGTCCACGGAGTTTAGCTCTCAGGGCTCAGGGTGAGTTGCAGGAGGAGGCTCTTTCTACCCAAATATCCCCAGCAAGTAGCTTTCTGTCCGGGACCCCCATAGGTGGGCAGCCTTGATGACATTTGCAGAAGAGGAAATCAGGACTCCAAGGTCCAGGTAACTTGCTCAAGGCTTCTCGATCCTGAGACAGTCAGCGCCCAAACACCTGACTGTGAGCACAAGGACTTCCTACCTAGCCCTCACTGCTGCCGTTGACCATGACATATTTTAGCACAGGGATTGGTAGTCCTCTGATGGTGTATGGTGTCTCAGGCCTCCAAGTGTATGTACATGCTGTCCCCTGTACCTGGCATTCTGGTGGTCCCCTTGTCACCTGGCTGGCTCCATTCTTCAATGCTCAGCTTAGATTCCCTTCACTTGCGTGGCTAGTCCTGTTGTCTGTTCTGGCACTCTGTCCATGGTACCTGGCTCACTGTTGATTGCTGCTCTTGTCTCTGCCCCCCACTGGACCATAAGCATCAGCTTCTTTATCTGCATGGGGGTTCTTAGTACCTAGCACAGTGTTGTCACTGTGGTCCTCAACTGGTCCTCAGTGGAGACGGTGAAAGAACGAATGGATTGATCTCTTTGAAATTTGCTCAAGTGCACTGAAATTCCTCTTGTTCTTGGCCATCTGCTACCTTTTTCCCTTAGGGAATTTAGGTGGTAAACTAGCCCCATGGCTGGACAAGGACAGGGTCTCAGATGCTGGGGCTAGGGGTTCTGCCTCAGATCTGTGAGCTTCAGTGTACACCCTCCCTTTCCCCACATGTCAAAATGCTTTACCAAATTTCATAGGACTGTCTATTGAATGCTTCCTGGAGGCTCTTCATTTTCATATTCCACTATAATTAACACATGGCATTATATTAGTTTCCAGGGTACAATAGAATGATTCAATAATTCTATAAATTTCTCAGTGCTCATCATGGTAAGCGTACTTGTTGAGCATCTTTTCATGTGTTTGCTGGCCATCTGTATGTCTTCTTTGAAAAAGTGTCTATTCAGGTCCTCTGCTCATTTTTAATTGGATTATTATTATTGTCATTTTGGTGTTGAGTTATAGAAGTTCTTTATATATTTTGGATATTTACCCCTCATCGGATATATCATTTGCAAATATCTTCTCCATTTCAGTAGGCTGCCCTTTCGTTTGTTGATGTTTTCCTTTGCTGTGCAGAAGCTTTTTATTTCGGTGTAATCTCAATAGTTTAATCTTGCTTTTGTTTCCCTTGCCAAAGGAGACATATCTAGGAATATGTTTCTACAGTTGATATCAGAGAAATTATTGCTTATGTTTTCTTCTAGGAATTTTATGGTTCAGGTCTCACATTTAGGTCTTTATTTCATTTCGAGTTTATTTTTGTGTATGGTATAAGAAGGTGGTCCAGTTTCCTTCTTCTGCATGTTGCTGTCCAGTTTTACCAGCACCATTTGGTGGAGAATGTCTCTTTCCCACTGGATATTAATAGATTAATCAACCATATAAACATGGGTTTATTTTTGGACTCTATTCCGTCCTATTGAACTATGTGTCTATTTTTGTGCCACTACCCTACTGTTTTGATTACTACAGTTTTCTAGTGTATCTTGAAATCTGGGATTGTGATACCTTCACTTCAGCTTTGTTCTTCTTTTTAAGACTTCTTTGGCTATTTTTTTTTTTTTTAGTTCTGTAAATAATGTTGGTATAGGAATTGCATTCAATCGGTAGATTGCTTTGGGTGGTATGGACATTTTTAACAATATTGGTTCTCCCAATCCATGAAAATGGATCCATGAGGGTCCTTTAAAACGTCATTTCACATGTTTTAAATTTTACTTCCCTTGTCTCCATCAGCAGTGGCAAAGAGAGAATCAGTGTCGTCAGTGGAAGAGCTGAGATTTTTTTCAAGACTGCTCCCATGTGCCTGAAACACTGCTGGTTGCTATGGACAGGGTAGTGGTAAAGAATATAACCACGTTTGCAAGGAACTCACAGCCTCCATCAGACATAAGAGGCTTGTGCATACAGAAAATGACAAAAGGCAACACTACATAGGCCATATCCTGTATCAGTTGTACACTAGCATAAAGCCAACCACTCTCCCCACTTCATTCATATACTAGGCAGTTACTCTATTTGTTCTTTGGATTTTTCATTTCTATAAGCTTAGCCATTTTGCCATGTTATTTTTCTCAGACTAGTTGTGATTAGATTCATTTCAGAAGGACTTATTCATACACAACTATAATATGATCCAACTCGGACTTCACTTTAAACCAGAGAATTCCTTTGTTCCTGATGTATTTTGTCATGGGTTATTTTTAGAAGGGGTGGGAAAATTGGAGGTGAGTCCTGGGATAAGAGCCATTTTGGCCTGTGTTCTGCGATAAATTTAGCTTTCCATGCATTATATTTGTCAACAGCGCCCTAAATATCCAAGCTTGATTTCAGTGGGTAGAGAGTAGCAGTCCAGAAACAGACACGGTTCTTTGTGAGAGCTTTAAAAATAGCCCACAGGAGACAGCATTGATTTTACAAGTAGGACATGTAGATTACTTCAGGAGCATGACGGAGGCATCTTGTTTTTGGTTTTGTTTTTTTAAAGAGCAGCAATAGCCATATGTGGTTATATGTTAAAAAACAAAATAAAAAAAACCAAAAAACTCTACAAACATTTAAAAACAAATCCAGTCGTTCCTCTATTTATTCAATAAGCATTCATGGGATATTATGCTCTAGAGTGTGTGGTTAGGTTTTGGGGATACAGAGACAAAAAATATAAGAATCCTGCCCCCAAGGACCACACAAGAAAGAGCAGTGACCACAGGACCCTAACACAGAGGAGTTTTTTAGTCCTCCTTCCCACCAGCTGAATGA